AGATAACCAACCCGTGGAGCAACCAATTGGTGCTCACATAAACCCACCAATCCGTAATGATGTAATCCACAACCTCTCGGAGAACATTGTTAGGAATCTAGAAGGAGGAAACGACCAACATCTCATTCCACCTAGGAATATGGGAATCCAACAACAAGCTCAACATCTTCAACCTCAAGGGGACCAAAACTTCCAACAACCCTTGCGTCAAAGACAAGCCCAACATCAAACTATCGGAGATGTCGATTCCTCCGATGCTTTCTTCTTCGATAGAAACCCCATCCACCCACCTCTACCTCAAAGGAATGATTTCGAGATCAAACCTTGTTGGGGTCGGTTTTCACCCGCTCAACATTAACGTTCAAAGTCAGACAACTGAAAAAGTGACCCTCCGGACTCTCGACGAACAAGGCGGAATAGCACCTAAGTCTTCCCGCGAAGCAAAGAAAGTAATCGTGCGGCAAGTCTAGGCAAAGCAGGAAGCGTCGGGGCAAGGCGGGAGACCACGTCCTCGGGTCGATCGAGGAGCCGACCACGGCCTCGGACCCTCGAGGGTCTGACCGCGTCCTCGGATCTTCGACGGGCCAACCACATTCTCGGCCCAGCAGCCCAATGACACAAAGACAGTCCGAAGCCCGGTCGAGACGCGAAGCCCACTTTGATGCAACCGACCTTGGCAAGGAAGGGATCCGCGAAGACTTAGGAAGTTTAGCCGCCTTAGAGATAYTATATATACTTGATGTAAAAACCCTCGAGAGGGCACTCGCAATCTGATTCACAAAAACTTACAGAGCAATAAAAAAATAACTTTTGATACTTTGGTGATCTTAGCTAACCCTAGAAATCTCTACCTCTTCACGAAACCCTAACAAATCTAYTTGTGRTYGTTTRGYCRRCCACAATTTGGCGCCGTCTAAGGGGAACAGAGAATTTCTGACACAACAAGCTAAGTTTCTAAAAAGATTTCAGAAGATGTCTGGGAACAACAGCGGAAGCAGCGAAGGATCCTCGTCTCACAGGAACGACGAGGAGAATGAYAACTCCGTGGAAAACCCTGCACKTAACGCCGCTAACAACCCAGCGGACATAACGGAYATAAAGCAGATGCTCGAGACGCTCGTCAAGGGAGCGCAGGAGCAATAGAAGTTCAATGAAGCAACTATGACTGAGCTGCGATCGCTCTCACGTAGGCGTAAGAGGTCCCGCATCAACCCACATCGCCTTTTCAATACGCCTTGGACCGGTCGGAGAGAGCGGCCAAACGCGTTGCCACCTCGGACCGCTCGCACGGATCCGGAAGGCTTGCCTCCACCGCCGCCGCGTCGGGACATCGATAGAACCCCCGAACGTGCTATGGAGGTATCGGACGACGATCAACCTCCTCATCGAAGACGTGTCTGAATGGACGCTGCTAACAGCACTACGGCTGATGGAGAGGGAGCTCCCACCATAGCAGAACTTTATAGGAGGGAGCATGAGCGCATGGCTCCACACAGTTGGACCAGGTCGTCTCTGACCTGAGGACTACTAAGCTACAGATGTACCGGAGCACGGGGAAGGCTCCTGGGGTTGCTTACGTG